GTATATTAAAATTAGGATAATTTGGGTCTTGATCTTGGCAAAGTCAGCTGAATATTTGTTCAAGTTATACCAACTTAAACTTTTGTTAAAAATGCACTAGCTTGCTCTTTAAATGATGCTGGGTATACTAAAATGTTTAATATATTGTTAGTGGTAGTGATAACATATGTGACACTTTATAGATATGCAGCTTGTGATGACTTGTTGATTCACACATCTATTAGAAAGATATCTTTACCAGTTACATACACTTTTTTCGGTGCATTTTTGGGAAAGAAAAAACCCTGTTATCTAAGATTCAAACAGTAGTTTAAATTCAGAGGTATGAAACATTCTTTTTTAGTCACTTTCATATAAATTATTAAATTTTAAATTGTTAGTGGTAGTGATAACATATGTGACACTTTATAGATATGCAGCTTGTGATGACTTGTTGATTCACACATCTATTAGAAAGATATCTTTACCAGTTACATACACTTTTTTCGGTGCATTTTTGGGAAAGAAAAAAAACCCTGTTATCTAAGATTCAAACAGTAGTTTAAATTCAGAGGTATGAAACATTCTCTTTTTAGTCACTTTCATATAAATTATTAAATTTTAAATTCTTGCCATTTTAAAGTGTGCAAGCTTTGGTAGACACCTAAGATAGATTTAACCATAATATACAAATTAAGACATCTTTGCTGTGGAAATCAAAGCATTCCAGCACTACCCATATCTATGATGTGACTAACAGTTTTTCTCATAAAGCTCTTGCTCTGCCCAAATTATTGTTTGGCTGCCAAAAAATTGCCCAGTCCTAAGCTTTAAGATTAGCGTATGTTTTCATTTTATTCAAGGGAGCTTTTCAAATATTCTCAATGCAGATTAGATCAAAACATTAACTTTAATTAGGCATGTGTGAAATAACATTCATAATGTAAAGTCATTTAATTAGTGATATCCACCGTGTGCTTCTCTAAACTCATTCCAAAGTATATCCCCAAACCATAGCTTTCTCCTTGATGTAAATTATTACAAAACCAATACATAACCTATAACACATAACTCAGTTTTACCTTTCCAGATTTAAAACTTCACTAGGTATAATGTATATACCCTGCTTTTCTTCAGGAGGGAAGTTTAAAATGACAGTAATGATTTTTTTTTTGTTTCAGATGCAATTCCGTAAGCAGCTGATACATGAACTAATAAATCCAGTTTTATGTAGAGAAATTCTTCCAAAGGCTACTTCTAGTGAATGCAGTTCATTGATCATTGTTGCGTGTAATACTTTGGTGGCAGATCACTTGCGGAGATGTGGCTATGAATATTCACTGTCTGTCTTTTACCCAGAAAGTGGATTAGAAAAGGATAAAGTAAGTGTCTTGAGAGCTTGGTAAAGGACTATATTGTTTCGTGCCTTCCCCCTACATTTGACTCATTATAATTTGCTTAGCTGAAGAACTGTTCTATAGATGATGCACTTTCTTGTGTGCTTCATCTTAGTTTGGTGCACTTGGTGGAGAAGAATACTCACGTGGAAATGCTGTTGATTTTAGTTCGGCGTTCAACACAATAATTCCTCAGCATTTGGTGAACAAACTGGGCCTATTAGGTTTTAATACTTCCTTACATAACTAGATACTTGACTTTCTTATTGATAGTTCCTTACATAACTAGATACTTGACTTTTTTATTGACTGATATTTCTCTGTGTTATATATGTGTGTGTATGTGGGTATATGCATAATGGTATTTTTTTGAGAGCTGAATGCAATCAAATTTTATTTTAATGTATGCTGATTAGTGTACATTTAAAGTGACAATAAAGTATTCTATTTCTATTCTATTTGTGAGAGTTTGTGAGAGTTGGAAGAAAAGTTTCCAGTTCTATTTTTTTGAGTATGGGTTCTCCACAGGACTGTGTTTTGAGTCCGTTACTGTTCACCATGATGCCCATGACTACTATGCTAAGTCTGCTACGAATCATATTGTGAAGTATGCGGATGACACGGCAGTAGTGGGTCTTATCCGGGATGATAATGAAGATTCTTATAGGAAGGAGGTGAAGGCATTGTTGGACTGGTGCAATAAAAATAACCTGATTTTGAATGTTAATAAAACTAAGGAGATCATTGTTGATTTTAGAAAGAGCCGCATACTCATACTCCACTTTGTATCAAGGCTGCAACTGTGGAGGTGGTCAATAGTATTAAATACCTGGGGGTGCAGATAACTAACAATGTGACTTGGTTTCTTCATATGTTATGTTCTGGATCATAGATCCATTTAACCTTGTATAACTCTATGTTTACTATAACTCTATGTATCCCTATGTAACAGGTCAAGGGGAGGGGTTAGGGTCAGGGGCGGAGCTTCAGAAAGGCATCCCTGGACAGTAGCCTGGGATCAGCCCTTTGTTCTTTGACCATCTCATGCAGCCACACGGCTGCAGACACCACAATCACCCCACCATGTGACGCTTGGGAGAAGAGGGGAAAATCTAATGTCAATTTACCTGTGGGACAAACAGATTGCTGAGACCTATTTTGGAAGCACCTCTACTAACTGTAAGTTTGTCTAGGATTCCCAGAATAAAGCAATTATCTCGTTTGTTCTTCTGAGTTATCTATCTGTTAAAGACTGGAATAGAAGCAAGTTTCCTGTCCAAAAACAGAATAGTAAATTGACAGATTAATTCTCCTCTGAGCTCCTGCAATAGCAATTTGATGAGATTAATTTTCCTCTGTTCTTCAAACTTTAAAGAAGTAAAGAAAAGTCTCTCTTGCATGTGAAAGTAACTAGAAGTGACTGAAGGGGTGATCCAGAGGCATTGTCTTGTTATTGCTGTCATCTCTGCAAGCCAAGTTTTAAAACAACAAAACTCTTGCCTGTGAAGGCTGCGTTCCTAAAATCAAAGAGCGTGGGCTGTTCCCCCCCTTTTCTCCTGCAGAGCTATTTACGTTTACAAAAGAACTGTTTAAAACTACCTCCAAAATTCGGATGGGGGCTTGTTGTATTCTGCGTTTGGAGTGCAACCTAGGTAGGCAAGCGACTCTTCACTGCTTTAAAGATGATGCCTGTCTCCCACCCTGCCTAATGCAACAAGGATTTTAAAACTAAATGTTTAAATCAACAAAGCAACTACAGATCGCTCCTTCTTCAGAGAAGGTCAGAGAGGCCCCTTCCCGTCCCTTTGTTCACTTACCTTAGCAACTGGTCGTCAAGGAAGAGAACAATTAAACCATTAAGCTGCTCTCTCTCTCTCTGTCATAAAGCCACAATACTGGCCTGGAATTTCAACCGGTGTTAATAGAATAAGGAGGCAGGGGCACAACCAGCCCCACTAGCAGGGCAGCAGCGCCCCCTGGTGGCCAATCTGCACGTGACACCTTGAAATTTTTTTTTCCCTTTTCACATCACAACAACTTGATAATTTAATTCAGCATACACCCCCACTAGAGCTTTCACCCAGTTTTGAGTGACAAAGAAGGACGCATAGCCATCAATCCTTGCCTATTATCACAAGCTGAATACCCAGTGTGTTCCAGCCTGCAACTTAACGACCAGGTGGGAATTCATGCCTCTCAGTGGCCACAGCAGGTACGTGGTAATAGGAAGAATTTGGCTGACCTCTCTTCAGACGTCCCCTAGTGGTTAAAGGAGGAGCTGCACGCGAGCCTTTAATCACGCCCAGAGAAAGCCCTCTAGTGGACAAAGGGTGTACCTCAAAAGAAGAGCACCCCTGAAGCTGATACGCAGATAGCGACCCCTAGTGGTCAAAAAGTGAAGTTCATCCAATTTGCTTCTAAATAGCTAGGAACCACAGGAGAATGCTCCCAGCCACCCCCACCCACAGACAGCACCTCTGAAGCTGATCTGCAAGTAGCGACCCCTACTGGTCAAAGAGAGAAGTTCTTCAAATTTGCTTCAAAATAGCTGAGAAGATCACTGAACCCATCCTAACCATGGCAGAGCGGCTCATTGATCTAGATGAAGGGGTTCAACCAACCAGCCTAGTTGGGACACCCCAACCAGACGGCCAAGGAGAAGCGCCGCAAACAGCCACCCTTGACCTGTACACAGAAGCTGAAGCTCAAGCCTCAGTAAGACCAAAGATGTCTCAAAGTCACTATGATCTGAGACAACAAAGAACGCCAACTGAAGCCATGCATGCCAACCTGTTGGAGAAATGGCACACCGTGCACAAGCGCCATGAAAGATGCTGGGAGAAATGGCATAAACTCTACCTAGAGCAAAAGGAGGATCTCTTCCCCGAACGTGCTCACACACTAGTAGGAGATAAGGAAGACGCCTTCNGTCTCAAAGTCACTATGATCTGAGACAACAAAGAACGCCAACTGAAGCCATGCATGCCAACCTGTTGGAGAAATGGCACACCGTGCACAAGCGCCATGAAAGATGCTGGGAGAAATGGCATAAACTCTACCTAGAGCAAAAGGAGGATCTCTTCCCCGAACGTGCTCACACACTAGTAGGAGATAAGGAAGACGCCTTCACACAATGGATGGACTCCGAACAGCAACTCAAGGACATCCAGCAGCAAGAGACTCAGAAGTCGACCGCGACATGCAAAGTCTTCGGTTACTGAATGAGGAACGCAAGAAGCTTCTAGAGAGCCCACAACGCCCTCCAGAATGCGAGCCTCGCCCGAGAGACAGACCGGTTGACAGGGCAGAGTCTGAACTTTCTCGCCGTTCACACGCATCGTCCCAACGGTCGCACGTGGCTGCATCCCATGCGTCCGGAAGGGCCTCATCCTTTCGCCACATCTCCAAGCCACATTCCAGCGTGTCACAACAGTCTCACGTCACAGGTGCCTCCCGCAATTCAAAGGCATCTTCCCGCCAGAGCCAAGCATCTCGAGCCTCAAGGGCAGAGAGCATTGCCGCTCGTCTCGCAGAAGCGCGAATCAACACCGCAAGGGCTAAAGCTGCTGCAGAAACAGCAGCAGTAGAAAAGCAGCAAAGAGAGGAACTGGTCAGGAAAGAGACTGAAGCAGCCCGTCGCGTGGAAGAGGCACAGCATCGCGTGGAAGAGGCACAGCGCCAGCAAAGGACAGACATGGTCAATGCTCAAGCCAACTTCGGGATGACCCAACGCCAACAGGAAGCAAAAGAGGCGGCCGCAGTACAAGCGGCTCTCCAGAGAGAGCTAGATAACGCTACATCTATGACCGGGCTAGAAGGGCTAGGAAGAGTAAGCCCTCATAGCCGCGTGCAGGCCTACGTGGACAACCAAAGTGCGTTTCAACGTGAGCAGGTGAGACCACAGCCAGCCACAAGCCCCCCAAGACCGAGTAGACGAATGGAAGAATCTCAACGGCCAGATGTGCCAGTCAGCCACAGGGTTGATGTCGCCACAACTAGGCCACGGGATCTTCCCACTGTTGCTGCCCAATCGACCCACACCCTTGATGGCAATCGGATGGGACCACCAGCAACGGCTACGACTGCACAGCGGGGAGTGCAAGATGGCAACTGGATGGGTCCACCAGCAGCGGCTACGGCTCCACATCGGGCAGCGCAACGAGACATTCCTATCGTTGCTGCCCCATTGAACCCACCGAACCATACCTTTGATGGCAACTGGACGGGTCCACCAGCCACAGCAATAGCCACACTGCCAGGAACGCAAGGAGGCATTCCTATCGTAGCTGCCCCATTAAACCTGCCGAACCACGTCTTTGACGGCAACCGGATGGGTACATCATCAGCGGCAATGGTCACACAGCAGCAAGTGCAACAGCTCCGAGATGAGCTAGCCCAAAAAGAGGCATTATTAAGACGACAGGAAGCGGCCTTCTGGGGCACTACCCCCAACCCGGCTCCACCAGAAAGACGAGAGACCCTCCAACAAGTAAGTACGCAGGGATTTGGATTCCCTCAACTCAACGCCAGAGCAGAGGAATTCAGACCAAGTCAACAAGGTTCCTCGCATGTCACATGGCAAACCACCCTTAGCCAACAATACGCTGAAGGAGGTTGCCAGCCAGCCATGGCACACGCCCCCGCTCCAATAAGTGCTGCACCACCTCCACCAAACTACAACCCACACACGACTGCAATGCATTCCCCAATGTGCTGTGGCAGAAGGGTGGACTTGGCAGCCAAAGGAGTACAAAGATTCTCTGACAAACCTGGAAAAGACTACTTAATGTGGAAGCACATTTTCAAGCGCGCCATCGAGCTGGAGGGGGTTGGACCTGAGGAAGAACTTATCCAGCTGACAGCCTGGCTAGGACCAAAATCCGTAGTCACAGCGAACAACATTTTCACAGCCCATCTGGGCGACCCTGATGTCGGCCTTGTAGAAACTTGGGAGTCACTTGACAGAGACTTCGGTGAACCCACAG